TGCCCATCATACCGTATCCGCCCATTCCACCGAGCATACCGAGTCCACCATGACCCATCATCATTGGATTGTACATACCACCCATCATACCCATACCTCCCATACCTCCCATCATACCAAGTCCTCCCATACCTCCCATCATACCAAGTCCTCCCATACCCATACCTCCCATCATACCCATACCGCCTATCATTGGATTAAAAGCAAGGGTGGTGGCGGCGAAGGTCAAACATAAGGCGATGGTAAAGAGGGTGTTCATCTTGAATTCTGGAAATGAAAAAGAATAAAATCATTATCTACAATTTGAACCAAATACATGATATAAAGTATGACTGCCGGATAACACGTTTGAACTACAAACAAATCTGCATTGACACAACTAGAATCAGTTTGCGCAGCCAAATACCAAAATGTATTTATTAAAATTATTATATCAACAACCAAATACCAAAATGTATTCATTAAAATTATTATATCAACAGCCAAATACCAAAATGTATTCATTAAAATTATTATATCAACTTACTAGTTTCGGCTGGTTGTGATGTTGATAGTTTGAAGAACAGAAGATTTGTGATATTTTTACCTTCAATACTGACTGTATTTATACACTAGTTTATAATATATATTATTACAACATCCAATTGAATTGAATAACCTGATTAAAACCATCACTCATTTTTCTCTCAACAATTATTTATTATTCAATTTACTAATTATTCTAAATCTATTTCTAAGTAGGGCCACCCTCGGCTGTAAGGAACCAGGATGTAGTTCACATATCAGATACTATATGACGATCAATGGCCTTGATCATGATGTCAATTTACAAACGAAGACAAAACATAGAAGAATTAAAATAAAAGCTAAGAAAGTTTGAGTCTCATTGTAAAGAATTGTTGTTCTACTTTAAATCACTTGGGAGGGGATTTTAAATAATCTTAAGCAGTCTTTATACATAGACAGTTTTTTTTTCAGCGTTTCCGCTTAGTACATATCAAACAGTGGCGTTTCTAGTAAACACCAAGTAAAGGGGCCGTGGAGGGACCACAAAATATATTTATTTGTTTTTTTTATCCCCATATGTTATTGTTGGCATATAACGCCACCATCCTTGTTCGTCATTCTGTCCGACCACATTTCTTGAGGACACTATAGACTATAAAAGTTTCTGAACTGTTGCCCTTGAGTTAAATGGCGTCAAATTTGAATTGCAGACATGCTCGGTGGTATTGGTGGATACGGTATGATGGGCGGTATGCTCGGTGGAATGGCGGGATACGGTATGATGGTTGGTATGCTCGGTGGAATGGGCGGATGCAGTATGATGGGCGGTATGCTCGGTGGAATGGGCAGATACGGTATGATGGGTGGTATGTTCGTTGGAATGGGTGGATACGGTATGATGGGTGATATGCTCAGTGGAATGGGCTGATACGCTATGATGGGCGGTATGCTCGGTGGAATGGGCGGATACAGTATGATTGGCAAATCAGGTACGTACTACGATCTCTGTGTTTTTGATCATATATATATAATGCCAAAATAGAAAATAATGCTCTTAACATAATAATGTTTCAAAATGTCAAAACTTATCAATTTTTA